GAAAAAGATTATTTGTATTCGGTCCATCCCTCTCCCCCGAATGAGCGAGCGTTGAACGGTATCGAGAAGCCGGATAAGATCGCGCGGAAGGGGTCGATGTTGTTGTTGGTGAGCCAGAATCGGAGAGAAGTCAGAGGTGGCACGACTCGGCTAACAGCGTTCAAGGGTTGCGTGCGGCGCCGTGAGCGAATGGCGCCAGGACGTCTAAGCGGCGACGGATCGTGTTTCGATCGCGTCGTTGGGTGGGGGGAAAAAATAGGCATAAGCATCCTTCAGCTCTACGTAACATCTACGTCCAAAGTTACCTACGAGAAACGGTGGATTGTGGCGAGAAAAAGCCTCGAACGAGATCGTAGGTTGTTCGACGAAAATGAACGGGGGGGAACGGGAGGAGGCTCTCGTTCTTCGATTCTTTTCTTCTCTTTTTTTTTTCTCTCGTCGTTCCTCTTTCATCTCGAACAACCTCTACTAAAAATACGATGGGACAGTAGTCCTCGCAGCTGTTTGCATTCGATCTTCCGCTCTGAATATATCTTGACTCGTCTCGCCTCGTCGAATCGGCCCGTATCGTATATGTATACGTGTATACGTGTGCATGCATGCACCAGCGTTCGAATTTCGAGCAAATTTGCCTTTTCAAACGGTTCCTTTAACGAACACTCGGGGGAGCGCCACTTTTCGTCACTTTGGCAAAAAAGCGCGACCGTGAGGATGGTGAAATTCGAACGATGGAGAAGGAGGGGGGAGAGAGGGAGGGAGAGAAAAAGGCAGTGTCGGGCGCCATTACCTGAAAAAAATCTTGACCTTTTCGAAGGGCCGCCAACATTTTCGGACCGCCGTAAAGCTTAACGGCCGGTTTTCAAATTGTCCCTTGCCTTTTCTCGCCGTAACGAGACACGGGGTGCTTGGGCTCTTCGCACCCCATTCTCTATGGTCTCCCGTGCGAGAGACATTTAAGACCGTAACTTCATTGTTACGGAGGGGAGGAGGAGGAGGAGGAGTAAAGGAAAAAGCTTGGGAGAGAGGGTGGCGGGCAGCATCGACACCCGGCCTGGGGCATGATCGCAAGACCGGGCTCGAATAAACGGGTTGAATTCCGTAAAAGGGGTGACCATGGGGAAAAGGGAGAGGGGGGAGGACGAGAATCGCTTTATTTCTCGGCCCGTGAAGAATCTTATCGCGGTGAACCGTGAACGAGAAGAATGGAACAACGGTCCGCCAACGATTTCTCCGCTGCTATTTTGGATTACGTAGCGTGAAATATAACGAGAATCTATCTTCGAAATAAAATAAATTCGCGTTACGTATTCTGCCTCTCTTTCTTTAATCGAATTTCGTCTATCTATCGGGAAAGGATAGGAACTGGAAGGATGTTGGGACGAGGCGTTGGATATTTAAATTACAACGTCGATCGATCCGCAAAGAAGATTAGTTCGCATGGCGTAGCTCTGTTAAAAAATGACTACCACCCCCGCACTAGAATGCTCGACGGAGTTGGTCGATCGCCTTCGGTACTTATGAGATACGTGACCTCCGCAATTCCACGAGTAGCGACAGAACGTGGTCGAAGAGGTTGCTCTGCGCTCATGAAAGTTAATATTCCGTGGAAAGGACTTACACACACACATACACACATATATACATATATATATTGTACACACATATATATATATGTAAAAGGACGTCGACGAAAAGAGAGGGGTAAAGATGAAGAGGCCAAAGAATAGAAGAAAGAACGACGAAAGAAAGGACGAGAAGAAGAAGAAGAAGAAGAAGAAGAAAAGAAAACGAAGAGAGGTACTCGTCGGTGGTAAAGAGCCCCTTCACCCCCTAGACTTCATCTAGACTCGGCCGAGGAATCGATAGGGTGACTCATCGAGGGGCGGTGACGGAGTTCTCTCCCTCCCTTCCCTTTATTCCCTCCTGTCCTCCTTGTTCAGCCTTCCCACGCCCTTCTCCTTCTCTTTCCGCCAACCTTGCTTCCGGTTCTAACGCCGAAAGCGTGTCCAAACTTTCAAACTCTCGTGCACGGCCTCCGTTCCTCCTTCCTCTTCTTCCTCTACTTCCAGACTGCTCCCCACACCCCTTCCCTCCCAACCGAAATAACGAAATGCGCTGCTCGGTGGCCTTCCTCGCGCCACTCGTACTCGCCCGCCCGCGGAATTCGCTGACTCGACGCTGCTCTCCGGCTTAAAAACTCGCAAAAAAGGTGAACTTCCCCCTTTTCCTGCCCTTTCCTCCGCAGTGCGGTCTCGTAACCCGAGTTCGGATCGTTTGGAAAGCATCGAATCGATGCTTTTGCCCGAATTTTGGGGCAAAGCACGAACAACATAACACGTCGCTCTTCTTTCCTCCCTCTTTCCTTTCTCTTCTCCTCGACTGGAAAGTGGAAGCACGAGAGAGAGAGAGAGAGAGAGAGGTTGCTCGTAAGTGTAAAGTTCCAAGTGTTCGGATATACTCGTAAGACGGAAAAGTTTCTCGCGCGAAATAACGAGAATCCGTTCGAAAAGAAGCAGCAGCTCGCGGCCGCGAGCATATCTATAACAGGAATGCGGCAACACGAGCACGTCCCCGGCCAATTTGTCGCGCACGAACGATCCACCCTTCTGCTGACTCATCCGGCCTTCCCTCCTGAATTAACGAAATCTTTCCATCTTCCGTCTTACCTACGAATTACGCCACCCTTCTTTCGCCGTTTCCACCCTCTTTGATCTTTAAATAATTAACCGTAATTTCCAAGGCAAATTGATAAATTATTCGCAAAATAATTCGCGGAACAAGTTAATGGGATCGAAACGGAGTACAATCTCTCTCTCTCTCTCTCTCTCGTCGACTCGGACACCGTCGTAAACTCGATCCGAAGCTTTCAATTATTCGTCTCACGTTGAGCGAGAAACCTTTCTCCGTTATTTCCGCCGTTTCTTCTTATTTCCTTCGAACGAAATAACGAAACGCATTCACCAACTGAACGCACCACTACCGTCACACGTGTAACGAGCGCACGATCGCGATTCGTCGCCCACGAACGCGTCGCCCCTTCGCCGATTCGTCCCTCGGCCTCCCTCCCTTCCCCCGGAATCATCCAACTTTCGTCGAATTCCAGAATAATTATTATGAACTCGAGTGGGTGGAAAAATTAACGAACCCGTTTTTCCCCGTCCCTTCCGAAACCAGACGTACTACTCTTTGAGCGGCGATCGTGGTATTCCCGACGTGGCAGCTCGTAAAATTCGTACGAGAAACCGAGGGAGAATTACCGATTACCCTTTTTTTGTTCGATCCGGAAATCAGCGTCGATGGCCGATGGTCGACGGTGAAAGCGATTGGCGAGGGTCGCGACAAACGTCGAATTAATCTCGAAAGAGGTAGCGTCAAAGGGAGGACGGAAACAAGTTTGGTTCGCGTAATTCGATCGATTAATTACCTCTCTTCTCTATTTCTCGTGGATGAGCCTGTTGTTTCGAAAGAACAACCGTGTGCCGAGGAAAAGACGGGAAGGGAAAAAACGGTTTGATCTCTCTCTTTGGAATCGTCCTTTCGAACAGACGCGTCGTTAAATCCACTCGATTAATCCGAATTTTTTCGAATCCGAATTTTATATCCTTTGTTTTCTCCTCTCCTCTCACCCCCTCCCCCCCCCCGTCGTTCGTAAATTTAATCCAGAGATAAGTCGAGGAAGAGTAATGTGACGCGGATCGTAGCGATTAATCGCGGTTTCTGACAAACGACTCCGGTCGTGCGCCAACTCCGCGTCCCTTTGACCGAAAGAAGCTCGAAGCAGGGGGGAGGGGGGAGAGGAGAGCTTAAAGCTCGCGGTTCTTGAATCAATATCAGGGGAGGGAGAGGGACAGAAGGGAGATAGATACACGGTGGAGGAGATAGGAGTGTCAAGGATAGAAGGAAGGAAGAAAGGAAGGAAGGAAGGAAGGGAGGGACAAAGGAGGCCAAGGAGATTCGTCTTAGACACCCTCGCGTACACACACACACGTACACACGTTCCTCCGTGTATCACGATCTCCTATTTACACAGGGTGTATATGTATATACATACCGACGTAGCTCGTCGTTGTCGATAAGTACATGGAGTTCTTCTCTGTCAACGTTTCACGATTATCGGCCGAGATTTTTTTAACAATATGACCGGCGTCAACTTGGCATGGATGCGTTCTTTCGATTTCTGTACAACGTTCTTCTAATGATTGTCGTCTTGCTGAGGATCATCAGTGAGTAGCGTACACCGTGATTAATCAGTAATCATCGTAATCATCGATATCTGTCTCTCTCTCTTTCTCTCTCTTTCTCTATCTCTTTCTCTCTCTGTGTGTCGCAAGCTTGAATTTCACTCATCTGCGCTTTTCAGCTGATACGAACGGTCAATGTTTTCAATCCTCTTCTTCCTTCGAGAAGAAGGAATTCCACTTCTGCTATCTCCTCCCCCATGAGGATTCCGAAACTCGGATCGTCTCAAGTCGGATGACGTCTCCTCGCGATTGATCCACTCTGCTCTTCGTGTTTGTCGCTTCGTGGACTTTATTCTTTTTCTTTCGCTGCTTTTTTCACCTCGACGTTAGTATCGCGTCGACGATTGGCTTTCGCATTATTTTGACAAATAGTTTTATGTAAATTTCTTTGTCTCTCTCTCTTTTTCTCTCTCTATCACGCTCCATAGCTATTTTTTCAAAATAACAAAGCGCCTAGTTTCCCTACACTACTCCAAATATTGTGCTTTTGTATTATCGTCGCTGTTCGCCTATCCTAAACCTATCCTAAACTATCACGAGAGTGGTAGTGAATCTTGACGTCTGCTTCGCTTTATCCACCAAGACAAGTATTTCATTATCGACGACTCACGACAGCACGATAAAGTAATTCTGCGAATTCGACTTTAACCATTCCTTTCGCTCGCGTCGAACTCGATACGACTCTTAAAAATACATGAATCGATCCGAATGTTAGGGAAGGAATTTTTACCGAGGCTGAGAAACGAATGTTTGTTACAGAAAACGGTCTGCTCTCTTTCGAGAATCCGAATTACCACTTGGACCCGGCTCGCCTGGACGATGCTCTGAACAGCAACGAGAACGGGAGTTCCCTGTACGATGAATTGTACCAAGAATTGGTCGGGAACGGTGGCAGAAGCGGCGAAGTGACTGGCGGCGGCGGCGGCGGCGGGGGCGGCGGCACGAGGGTTCAAGCGCGCAGAACGTATGCCACGTTGGATCTGGGCAGCATGGGGGTTGACGTCACCCAAGGTCCTCTCACCCAGGACTCCGTGACAGAGGACGCGCAGGACAACACCGACAACCATAACCTAGGGTGAGTAGACTAGCCACCACGTATCGTTAAATATTCACTTCGTTGTAACAATTACAACGCGAATAATAATCCGTCGAGCGGATCGCGATACGCTTCGACTTTGAATCGAAAAAAAAAAGGAAAAAAGATGGATTAGAATAAAATAGAATTTGAATAGAAAAAGTTTGGGAAAAATTGAAAGGTTCGGATACGAGCGACGCGTATATACGATCCAGCGAGAAAGAAATCAAATGATGACTTTCGCACGACTTTTATTTTCACCGGGATATTATTAAAATTCTGGTTTTGACCGAGTCGAACCGAGTCTCGGATATTCGGAATTTTTCCCATACGTAATATACTCGGGCGGAGATCGAAAGGGGAGGTCGGTATAAAGGAGAAATCGGCTTGGAGAAGCGAAATCGAGGAATCGGCTCGCCGGGAATGTTCCTCGTTCCACGTAATATAAGATCCGGCGAGGCGGAGTCGTTGATAAAAGTGGTTGGAAGCTCGGACCTCATCGGACTAGCGCATAAAATTTCAATAAATCCGGGCCCGTGAAAGAGAGGTTGGACAGAAGGAACGAATGGCCTGGATGGTACGAGCAAGTTTCCAACTTATTCCCGACTGTTACACGGAGTCAAGTGGGAAGAAGAGATATCCGTTCGATCGGTCCGACTTCCCCTCGTTCGCCTCTCCCAAAACTCCTTTGTCCTTCCACGCCGTTATCCACGTCTGATAAACGTTCGTCTTAAAGGGAATGGCTCCTTTCCCCTATTTTTCCAAGCGAGAACGTTCCCTCGGATCGATCCTCCGAATTCTCGCATCCTTTTCGAAGAATTCTTTCGAATTCTTTCGAAGAATCGGAAGAATTAATTTTTCCAAACTATAGAAGCAAGAATAAGACGCGAGTCGAAGGAAGCAGAGTTCGCGAATTACACGAAACGCTCAACGATCTGGAATTCTCCTCGTCTAGTTCGACGCTCACGCCCCGCGTTCGCCTCCGTCTCGAGGACCTTTTGTCGGCGATGTTTGGAATTACCCAAGTCTCTGCCCTCGTTAATCTCGCGAACGAGAGCTCTCCTCTCGTCAACCTCGATCGAATCTCCTTTCCCTCCGCGTCGGAATTAGATTCCAGATCGATTCCATCCGCTCCCTGTGATAAATTAAAAAAAAAAAAAAGAAGGAAAAGGAATATGCTTCCTTATCTCCTTATCCGCTTCGTTATCTGCTCTCCCCTGTCTTCCTCCTCGTTCGACGTGAAAATTCGTTCCCGAATCCCTATGGATAATTATCGAAGACGGAGTTTAACGAGACGGAAAAATCGTAGCACTGCGCGCGCGCACACGTCGATCCCACACACAGGTCTGGGCCAGGTTCAATCGAGACGCGCGTTAATGGAGGGGCTTCTTCTCCAGGCGCGGGGATAATAAACTGCTCTCTTCTCGCCGTTCCATTTTCCTCCTTTCGTCTTTTTTCCGCAGCTTGGAAATCCGGGCGAGCATAAAAATGCAATTAAGGAAACGCCTGGCGTCTGGCAGAGGGTGCATACTTCTGTTCTGCGCGGTGAAAGGTGGCTTCTTCCTCCTCCTCCTCCTCCTTCTCCTCGTTCCAAAGACTTCCTTCTGTCCCACCCTTCATTACCCTCTTCTCCTTTCCGCCGCTCTTCCTTTCGACTTGCCTAAATTCGGTCTGCGATCGAATGAACGCAGTCCCTGGGATCCGCCACCGTGGTATCGTTGCCTCGGAACGATCGAGTTCAATTAAAAACTTTTATCGCGAAAGGGTTCAATGGGCGATTAACTAAAGAGAGATCCTTCTTGATCGCCGTTGGTATTTCGCTGTCCTTTCACCATTCCTTCCCGCGCTATTATTTCGAACGGGACAAAAGAAGGAAGTTCCCTTGGAAAATTGAAATAGATAGTAGCCACAAAAATGAACTTTCTTTCCGCCTCGAATAGTTGGGCTTGGTCTCTGGAAAGAATAGAATTTAGAAAAGCGAATCGAGATCTTTATAATCGCGTAAAGAGACAACCTCGTTTCCGCGAAGTGAACAATACGACGAGGCAAATATTTGAATATTTTGGGTAGTTATTTCAGGGTAGTCGGATCATCGGAGGAGCGAACAATTGGGATGCTCGGTCTCCGTCACCGACGACTCCGTCGTAGCAAGGTAATGAAGCCATCGACGAACGACAATTCGTCGCAGCTGATCGAATTTTCCGCTCGATGCATAGTGGAAAAGCGAATTTGGGCGGGTGCGGGGCCGTGGTGCAGCTTTCATCGTGGTGCAACGTTAACCTCGTTTGCGCTGATGCGCCTGAAACGTACGCGGCGTTACGTTGTTAGGCACTTGACGTGCCCGTATAATTCCATGCATGCATCCGAGATGGCTGCGCCGTCATCGTCGGGAAATCGGTAATCCAATAACGTACTCGATTATTCGTCAACCGGTCGCGGTAATTGCCGCTCGTCAAATCTTTTCCGCACCATCCTTTCCTCTTAACTTGGTTTACGCGCGGAGTAGTTGTCCCGAGATCGGTTAAATGGATTCGAGGCGAACGATGTACCGGTACGTCTCGTCGGAGAGAAAAATTCGCCGATCGAAATTTTTCGAGGGTGGAAGGAATCTCGTCGCGATGTAACTTTCTTTAACTTTCAAATCGATTTTTTTAATCTCGATTTTTAATAAATCGATTTGATTTTTGAGTTTTGTAAATTTGAGATTTGTAAATTTGTAAATTTTGTAAATGGCAAGCGTTACATGATAATTTTGATCTCGTATGTTTGCTTCCGTTATCCCCCAGCGAGAGTTGCAACTAGTTGGTAACTAGTCAGAGATGGCGCTACTGTCTGTTAAAGGTTAAAGTTAGAAACAGTGGCAGCCGCTGTAGTATCGTGATAAGTAAATTGATCGTAGCAGTATCCGGACGAACGAGCCAAGTTCTAGGTTTCTCGATGGCGAGTATGAATCTCAACTTTTAGGTGGAAAATCCGTCGGTCGTCGTCGCGATTGGGAAAGTTTAGCGGCGAAAAGTTTGCGAGGTATGGATCTGGCGACATCGAATCGACAAAAATGTGTTGGAAGACAGTCCATGCAATTTCGAGGGACGGCGGTCACTTTGTCAACGTGAGAGAGAGAGAAAGGAAAAACGAAAGTTAGCCGAAATGGACGAACTCTCTTTCTCTCTCTCAAAGAAATAGGGAAGGGAAGCCGGAGGACGACGGGTCTAGACAGACGAAGCGTGCCGATATTTCGTCCCAATCTTGTGGATATTAGACGATAAGTCCGCGAAAAAGGGAGGTCTCTTCGTTTGGACGGAAGGCTAGGATTGCAACGACGATCGCCTCGCTTCGAGATTGAACTTCATCCAAAGTTGCGACGAACTTGGCTCCTACTCTCGCCGCTATCTCTCATACTCGTGTCGAATCTCCGCCTACAACCCTTAATCTTATTCCGCTTTGATGGGACGAGTGTTGGAAAGGAGGGAGAAAGAGAGAGAGAGAGAGAGAGAGAGAGAGAGAGAGTTAGGTGGCGAGCGGAGAAACCGAGGTCGCGTCTTGGTGCCGCCGGTTCAGAAGGATGTTTCCCGTCGTCTCTTTGAAGCCGAGGGAAGGACTCAAAGGATATAATTCGCTCGCGAAGGCGAAGGAAACGGAAGTTGAGGGAATCTCCTTTAGGTTGCTAAAAAGAAATCGAAAGCTACGTGTTTCACCGCGAAACGAGCTTGAAAACCGTCAAAGTACAAATGAAGGGTCAGATCTAAAAGGAACGGTATCAATTAACGATCGTTCTTTCGTCTTTGGCATTTTGGCTCTAACGAGATTCCCTTTGACGAGCTCGTTTTCTTTCTTTCTTTCTTTCTTTCTTTCTCTTCTTTTTTTCCTCTCGAAAGAGGAAGAGACAGGAAAGAAGAAAAAAAAAAATAAAAAAGAATCGATACAGACAGGAAAAGATGAAATTCGACGCGTTGGAAATTCGAATGAATGGCGTTCGAATTGGCAGACGCGCGAGCGGACGGAAATTTCGAAGCGGACGGAAGGAAGAGGCAATAGCGCGGACTGGAACAGAGCCGAGCCAGGCTGGACCACGATTCACCACGGATTATACATTTTCCAAAAGCGTGGCGAAAGCTGGAAGAGAATGGGGACTATCCGACGCGCTTAATAACATCCGCATTATTCTTTATCCTCGGTCATGGCGCGCGTATTCGCGATGAGAGCGATAAGGACAGACAGGGCAAATAGAGGAATAGATTAATGCGATCCGCATCGATCTTCGTCCATCGGTCGATGGGCCGTCTTCCCTCCTCGAGGAAAAGCAACGGGCTCCCCGTTATTATGCGTCATTTTGCTCTCGTTTTTCGGTCCTCTCGTCGCCGAGCCAGCGCTCCGTCAAATCGACCGATTATCCTCGAGTGGCTGCCGATATGAAACATCCATTGCTTGCCTCCGTAATTCAATTTTCATTCTTCTTCCTCGAGCCGGATACGATTATCCTTGGTCCACGTTATTAGAAGTATAATACGAATTCGATCTCGCCGAGAGACGATTATCATTAGAATCATCTTTTCATTTTTACCATTATCGGTCGCGACAAGTCGACACACGTACGCATAATCGCGGCTTGGCGGGCACAACAGAGCCTTCCGCCTCGTAACTATGCTCTGATAAACTCGCCCCCGCGGATCCTACCCATTCAGGAAGCGTAAACCCGTAAGGAACGACGGCCATCGCCGTCGTTCGCAGCGAATCACGAGTCCTCGTGTACAATAACGTCGTCTCGAACGGAGGAAGAGAGGAGGAACGTCTTAGCGTCGTAAGCTCTCTTATTATCCGGTTATCGCGGCGACGATACGTTTTTCAAAGAAGAAGGGAAGCCATCTTACGAGATATTATTCTACTTCTATATTTTTGTTGATCGTCGAGTTTTCAAACGATGTAGAAATATCGGCCGATACTCGATAAAATGGAGGAGAAAGGAGGAGCGAAGATAAAGAAGTTTTCGGATAATTCACGCG